AAATATGGCGCACTATCCGTAACTCAAAATATGCCTGAATCTAACATGGCCGAAACTATTTTTTTGATCTAATATAAAGTAGTGACCTGTCTAACCTATTACACAAGACTACTTCGCAACTAGGCCCACTTCCATAAATTAAAATCTATTATTTATGAAAATCATTATTTCTGCAAAGTATTTATTTTAATCCCTATTTTGAATTTATTTTATATTCTGAGAGGTCCAGAAGGGGGTCCAGAAGGGGGTCCAGAAGGGGGTCCAGATGGGGGTCCAGATGAGGGGGTCCAGCTTTTGTACCCTCCCGATGTGGTTGATAATCAGGATGGTGCACAAGGGGCAGTTAAACAGGGTGATTACCACAGCACAAGAAAGCAAGTGGTAGAGTCAAATGTTACTAAATGAGGAGTTCAATGTTGGTGAAAATGGTCCAGTGCTACAGTAAATGGTTGACCTCAGCTACAGCGAAGAGTCCCAAGATGGCATGAACAGTACGAGATTTGGAGAAGAATTTTAACACACAAGCACAAGAATAGGATTGAAAGAAAAAAATCCACTTGTCAAGTAACCAACTTATTGTAGTGTAGGACTACCATAAACTGAATGATCAGATGGTATTTTCAGTTAATAAAAGTTATTTACATTGTGTTACACTCTGCAATTTGGGTAGTATTGGCATACTACCATTTTCGAGCTTCCGTGAAGCGTGCATTTATAACTACATTTCAAAACGTTTCTTCAGCATGAGTTTGTCAATCATAACTTTTTGTTTTGCAATAATAACTTTTGTGGGCGTGGTGTCAAGCACATTGTTTTGCACGCAAAAATTTCTTATTATTTTTCACACAGACTGACTTTATACTGACAAAATTGCTATAGAAAGCGAAATAACAGATTCATAGCACCTTCTGGATATGTTTACGTAACAAACCTCTGTAATACAAGTGCCCTTTTGAGTTTTGACGCCGAAATTCAAAGTTTCGCGTGCAAAACAATATGTTTTATACCACGCCCACAGAAGTTATTATGTCAAAACAAAATGTTTTAGGAGCGAAAAAAAAAGTTTTGAATGACAAACTCATGCTGAAGAAACGTTTTAAAACCTAGTTATAAATGCACGCTTCACGGAAGCTCGAAAATGGTAGTAAGAAAACTTTGGAAGGACGTTGTGACGAGGACTTCTCAGACAAGTGGAGGGAAAAACATGGTACGGTAATTATTATAATAGAAAAAATAAAACATTTAAAGTGGTACTTTATTATTGCTGCCAAGTGAAGCGAGGCGGCACACTAATGTCGACCCAGTCTCCCGATCAGATGTATAATTTATTATACTGCATTCAGAATCGAGATCTGGTGTTGTGATGTTGGCGAATTTGTGACGTAAAATGACATAGCAGTTACAAAATGGCATACACAGGGTTTAATGAAAACAATCCAATTTGGATCGAATAACTGTGTTGGAACTCGAAAACACCGCATGAGCGATGTAATTTAATTTGTTGGTCTCCGAGCAGTAAGCAGCATGTTTTCCCAGTGTCCACCCAGTGACTATTAAAAGTGACTGATTTTCACGATGCAAACGATCGACAATATTTTGAATAATTCAGGTAAGGATAGCTTTAGCATTTATATTAGTCCCTTATTCATCAAATTGCACATGCTGCCTTTGAATCTTTGGGGGTGCGGCAGTACTTTCCTTGCGATAGTAATTTCTAGTTTTACTCTGTCTAATGTCAGACAATTTTACTCATCAAGGGTATTAAATACCCTATTATACTGAAACAACTCCGCCCCAAAATTGTGCCGCTGTGCATATGATGATTTAATACATGGCATGATTACATGACTATTATTATAATTAAATGAAATAGCCAATTTGGTGATTTATATACCTTCAATGGGTAAATTATCAGCCAGGTGGGATGCACTTGGCTTAACTGCTACTAGTTGATGAAGTTGACATTTGTTGATACATTTGTTGATTAGTCAACAGAGTATAAATTATTATTATTATAATACGGCATATACCTTGATTTCATTCTCCAATATTGTCCCATGGCCTGCCACAAGGATGATGCAAATCATTTCTAACCTTTATGATTCACGTTCTGGTCATATGAACATTTTGAACCACTTGAATAAATCATGAACAAATTACTTTAAATTTGATTTCAAATATTTACAGTAAATGTAGCAATATACAAAATATTGCTATAAATTTAAAAAATAGAATATAATATATTTTAATATATATTTCAGAACTCCACTTTATCGACGGCGGCGTACCAACGCGCCTGGGTACGAGGCAAGCTGAAAAATTGTAAAAATACATGAACTTCATGTAATTGCTATTCTGTGGCTACTGTGACAACTTAATTTATATCGACCAGACCTCGATATCGACAATTCCCTAAGTTGTTTATCAGCCGCTCCTAGTTGTTCAAGATTTAATATTAACACAATAATGAACGAAGGTGAGGAGTTTATACAATACCTTTTCATATAAAAGTGATTATATTTAATATTTTATTCTATATTACACGTACTGGAATAACTGGATGTCACAGATGTGTAGAGAATAGATTGTCTATTTTTACGGCAGACATTTGAAGCTCAAGATTAACAAAATAAAGTTTTGATGACTGTTCTAACAACTATGTTTTAACTTGAATATATATATATAATATTTAATATATATAATACATATGATAGTGTTAAACTATAATCATTGTCGCGCGTGACAGCCAAATCTCATAGATCATTTGGTCCTGGCTTTATGTCCTTTATTTTGTGACAATAGAAAATAGCTGTACTGTAGATATTATATAATTTGCCGTGTTGGACTGGAAAATATTAAATAAACCAAAAGGATAATTCGAAGAAAGGGAAACAATGAACAAATTGGAAAACAATGAACCTTGCTCAGATGTTTGGGGAGAAGGGGTGTGGCAGAGGCAAACCCATGTAAAACAGGTTGTCTTAGTCCAGTTTGCAGAACGTGTCACTAGCGCACCCAAGGGCAATTTCTTGTTGCAATTTTAGCGCACCTAGCCTAAATGTTCCTCGTGCCTTAGCTCCCAGGGTGCACTTGACATGTATAATGATGTAGGGTGTCTATACAAGTAAGCTATTACAGACCACATGACTTGAAATGGGTTAATTTACATACAAGCTTAGGAGGTCTATTAGCAACCGCAGAGGTAAATTGAAAGTATTTCCAGGGCATCAATTTACAGTAATATCATGCTGGACGAAACACATATTTTTTGAAACATAACTATAATTATGATAATCAATGCGTTAGGCATATACAACTATCTGGACTGTTGTAGTTATATAATACACAGGGTGTCTCAAGTAGAACCGAACTCAAAATTAGACAAGCGATTTCGCGTAAATTAAGTCATAATTGCGTTCAATTTTTTCATATTAAGAAAGATCAGACTTTTAGCTATTAAATGATACATTAAATGATTAAATGATCCAACAATTGGATCCAACACAATGAGATCCGACAAAATTGGATCGTGTGAACAGACCTTTAGACACCCTGTAAAGACCTTTAGACACCGTGGGGGGAAAGACAAGAGATAAGCCGCTGATAAATTGTAATTTACTATTTCCCAACCGGCGGTGACACACCTTGTCACAAAAAATTCGCACCTACAGCATTTTTTACATTTTTTCAGGTGCGCACCTGACAGTTTGAAGCGCACCTGCACTTGAAATTCTTGGTATATCGCACCCAAGATCTCGTCGAAATGTGCCACGTTCTGCAAACTGGGTCTTAGTTGCTCCATGCAGTGATTCTCAATGCTTTCAAATATTAACACCAGTTATAAATTAAAATGGTGACACACCTTGTCACAAAAAATTCGCACCTACAGCATTTTTTACATTTTTTCAGGTGCGCACCTGACAGTTTGAAGCGCACCTGCACTTGAAATTCTTGGTATATCGCACCCGAGATCTCGTCGAAATGTGCCACGTTCTGCAAACTGGGTCTTAGTTGCTCCATGCAGTGATTCTCAATGCTTTCAAATATTAACACCAGTTATAAATTAAAATGGTGACACACCTTGTCACAAAAAATTCGCACCTACAGCATTTTTTACATTTTTTCAGGTGCGCACCTGACAGTTTGAAGCGCACCTGCACTTGAAATTCTTGGTATATCGCACCCGAGATCTCGTCGAAATGTGCCACGTTCTGCAAACTGGGTCTTAGTTGCTCCATGCAGTGATTCTCAATGCTTTCAAATATTAACACCAGTTATAAATTAAAATGTGTTTTATAATATAAGTGGGATATAGCATGTAATTTGATTGGCTAATGTACATGCATTATAAATATTTATAATACCATAATGCACTGTCTTGGTTTTGTAGTTTTTTCTTGCTTTGTCTCCAGTTGCTTGGCAAGATTTACTAGAAAGCAAGAAAGAATAGATGGAAAGCAAAGTGCAAAGCCGCAAACAAGAGACAAATAACTAACCCTAATCATCGGCCCACTCAGGTTATACTGCTTCTCTTGATGATTTTAAGATTCTATCATCCTGTTCCTCTCCAGATGAACTTCTTGTCCGTGAAAGTCTCATCTCAAAGCTGAAACCTTCTTTGAATCAGCAAGGTGGCTCCATTCCTCTCTCACTCCTATGACTTCTTTCCCCCCCCCCCCCCCATCCTCCACATTCCTATTACTTTGTAATTTGATATTGTAAATAGTAATTTATTCATATTTGTAACTCATTGTCATACTATATTCATTTACTCTGAAGATGTCTTAAGTTAAAGACGAAACGTTAGTACTTCTCAAATAAATTTTATGTCTATATTCTTGTCTATAATGGCTCTTTTGCATGCGTTATGCTGGGCATTAATTTTTATATTACGATTTAGACAAAAGAAGCAATATGTATTTTTGCAGCTGTTTTTGAGTCTGAATTAAACTAGCCAAGAAAAACTCAAGATACACCTAGAAAACTAGAAAATTCCTTCAAATGAAAACTGCTTCAGATATCTTCGAAACACGAAAATATAATGATAATAATTCTAGCAAATGAAAACAGAGCAACTCAATGAAAACCCTGAATTCCATGGCTTTCATGCCAAATCTGGCTGTAAGATGCACCAAAACACCAGCAAATCAGTTTCCTTATCAGGGTGGGTTATTTTTCACATTTGAATTTTTTCCAGTTTTTTAAGTATGATATCCAAAATTTACATTATTGTATAATATTCAAAATTTACATTATTTTTGTTCAAGATTTTGCCTGCCTGAGACTCTGAGAGTTCAAGTTTTTTGCTGGAAGTGACGAGTAAAAGCATGCATGTGATATCACCGATTACATTTAGGAGAATTTCAAATAAAATTGCTTACTGTGTAATATTTTTATATTGAAAAGAAGTAGAAAAACTCAATCAATTGCTTACTGTGTAATATTTTTATATTGAAAAGAAGTAGAAAAACTCAATCAAGAAATAGAAATCTCATGCATCTCTGGTGTTATAATGCACTTGGGGATATTGGGAGTACACTTGAAAAGCATTGTATACGTTCTCCCAACATTCTCCTTGTACATTATAACACCATAAAAGCAATTTGATTTATTGAATTGACGTTTCTACTAAATTGTAGTCATCATTGCATCAACGGTTCGACTAAATTGTAGTCATTCCATTATTCGTTATTCATAAGATTTTTCTTTTAATATTTTTGTAAATTTCTCCAAATTTTGGCCATAACTTTTACTTTTAAATCAGTGCTACTCAAATATTTTAGTTCTCTCCTTCCTATCCATTTCATATTTTTCCGACTATGAAAACAAT